CCTCTGAGAAATAGACAAGAAGAGAATGGGAAACAAACTTTTAGCTATCATTTCATACCCTTCTGTTCTCTTTAAATTTTTATTTCTATGTGATTCTGTTATTTTTAATTAAAAATAAATCAATTTTGCAGTTGTTCCTTAAGAATCTAAAATAGTTATGGGATCTATTGTTAGAGTGCATTTCTTTAATTGTATAAATCACCTTTTTAACAAGAAATAAGTAGTGCTTCTTAACTGTCCTATTTGCCCACAACCTCACAATAATGTAGTATAGATAGGGATAAAATGTTTTAATTTTGTGTCTGAGGAAGTGATCTCAGGAATGTACATTAGAACTCAAGGTCAAAGTCAGCTCATGGAATTCAAATCTGGAGCACAACTAGATATGCTTGGTTGCAGGAGATTGAGTTTTGTTCTGCCTTTCATGTTGTTGCCTCAACCTTCTTGTCTAGCAGCCCTTATCTGATTTGGTCAACAATGAGAGAGGAGCAAAACCTCAAGAATTCAGCTATAAGCATCTTCAGCGATCCATTTTCAGTCATGTTTTTCAGTTTGTCCTGGTTCCCAGGTATCTTGTGAAATTAATTCTGCACTCTCTCTTTTATCACACCTTTGACAATTACTCATTGTTAAAATTTTGGAACACAGAATCACATTGGCCACAGTATATTATTTCAGAGATTATTAGAAAAACAAAAGTTTCTTTCGGAAAATAAGACTTTTACTTTTAATGTCTAATAGATTTGAGTTTCAGATCACTGGTGAAGAACAGTTAACTGGTTTTTAGTTATTATTTTCAAATTTTTGTCTAAAAAACAACTTGTTACATTTTAAAAATTATAGAAGGACATCACAAGGCTTGTTTTTCTCTAGTACAGGGAATAAATGAATTAGTTTCTTAAATTGTGGGCAAATTTCATACACCACTATTTTTCATTTGTCACTTTAGGTTCTGTTCTTTGGGGTCAGGTGTTAAAGAGGAATTAAAATTCCCCCTCATACTATTATTGTTATTATTATTATTTTACCAAAACTCAATTCTTAGGTAAAACCCTACCCACGCTTTTACTGCTATTAAGACTTTAAATTTTGCACAAAACTTTCAGATATTTTCATATGATTACCCATGACTAATGTGTCAAAAGAAGACAGTAATAATATGGATATAGGAAATGCATGGTTTCATACCACTAATCCAAACAAGCACCTATCATGTGCGGGTCATTCAATGCATCATGTGTGGGTCCATCCTTAGCAATCTGTAAATGTCCTATTATTGCTTCTCCATCAAACACTTTATCAGAGTCTCAGATGCTGCAACTGAATGAATTTGTGTAACATTCAGTGTTGGTATTTAGGAAGAGCAAACAAATCCACAAAACTGATAGATGGACAGCAGGAAGAGAAAGATTTTTATTTTTTTAAAGTCTGAAGCCTGGATCACCCAATGATGATAGCTCATTAAATCTTCAAAAAACAGAGATTTGGCCTCAGGCATCCACCTAAGAAGCTCACAGAAGAATTAGCAGAGCTCTAATGGCAAGCTAGTGAAGCCACCTAGTGGTTTGTTACAAAATTTAAGGTTGTGGGACTATATCTCAGGATCGATTGTGTGAGACTCTTAGTCACTGTGACTAAGAATCTAACAACTTTTCATTTCATCCAGCAAGGAGGAGGGTCAGTATCACTGACAATAAGCACAGTGCTGCTCTGTGAAATGTTTTTATTTATTTATACTCTTCTTTTTATTACAAAGGACTTAATGCAACTCTCCTGAAAAATAGTGAGATAGCACACACTAGAAGATAAGAGCAAACATGAATGAAGACATAAGCATAGTCAAAAATTTTGATGATTCAAAATACCTCTAAGTTTTTCATGAAATGACTTCATATTTTTACATAAGTGTGGAAATGGATCATTTACGATATTCACAATGTCCAGAAAAAAGAAGTAATTTCCAGGAAAAGTAAAATTGTACCTGATTCCAAGAGCAGAGAAATGTTTCTTCTGGGGATCCTCACAAGTGAGATTCTGCATCCTGCCATGTGTAATGTCCTCAGTCCTCATAATAGAAACCATGCCGATTGTTAGAGGATTGTTTCTCTATGTGTCCACACTATTTGGAGGAGGACAGCCACCAAACTCCGTTTTCCGGGTTTGCATGAACTCATTTGTTCCTCACAATAAGCACATGAGGTGGGTAGTATAACTATCCCTGCATCGCACATGAGGCCCTGAGATAAGTGAGATTATGAACTTGCCAAGAGTCAGTTGTTAATAATCATCGCTTCCAAGATGCTGAATGGTGAATGGCCAGGTTAGTACAATAGGCCCATCCAATGAAAACCGCAGTACTTGAGTTTCCCCCTGTGTCTTAAACATACAGGTGTGCTTTAACATGATGATAAAGATGAAGTCAGGGTTGTATATTTCTGAGATGATTCAGTTAATCTTGCTCTCTTCTAGGGCCACAGATTTTTTATTTTTTTATTTTTATTATTTTAATCAATCTTTATTGTTCATATTATTACAAAGGTTCCTCATTTCTTCCCTCCTCCACCAGGTTCCCATTCCACCCTCCCCACCCCCCATTGTCCTCATCCATAGGTGCACAGTTTATGTTCAGTCTCTTCCCACATCCACCACTCCCCCCCCCCAGAATTGTCAATCCACTCCCCAACTGTATCGTCAACTCTACTACAATCAACAGCTAATATTGTTCATCAGGTTTTTTAATCTCCTTTTTTGTTGTTGTTGTTGCTTTTTTTTAAATTATTATAATAAACTTTTACACTTCTAAGAATAAATTTTAAAATTTAATAATTTTAAACCTTGTTTTTTTTTCCCTGGGAATTGAGAAGCAAACTTGTTTACATGTAAACTTGCCCCTAGGCTATCAAGAGGTGTAGCCATTCAAATGTAAATGAACACATTGTTTAAAGATAGCTGTTGGTTGGAATTGGATTACTTGTTCTAGGTAGGAAGGGCTTGTCCTCCCCTTTCTCCATTAAAATTAAGGTGTTAGCTTTAAAACCTCTTTTTGGCAAGAGACCTTAAACTTCCAGAACTTTAAATTTTTCAGATAGTAAATCAGTTACTTAGCATTTTCTCAAATCAATAATACCTCCACATGCCCAAGGATACACTTCACACAAAAGACATTTCCAAATAGATCTACCAGCCTCATCCAGACCCCACACAAGGCACTCACAGATCAACACCCCAGTGCTATACTAACTCACACATCCAGATCTAAGCCTTCATCACTTGATTCAGCAGACCCTCAAGTTCCCCCAAAAGTTTCCAGCCATGTCTGAGAGGCAGCCCTGGGGCGTAGGCAGGCGAGGAGCGAGCTGTTCCAGGCCTGGTTGCTCCGGGCCTGGCCTCTGTTGCTCTGGTTCATTCCACAACCAGCTGCTCTGGGTCTGGCCACTGCCGCTCCCGGCCTGGCTGCTGCTGCTCTGGGCCCGGCCGCTCCAGGCCTGGCAGCTCCGGCCTGGCAGCTGCTGCTCTGGGCCTGGCCGCTCCTAACCCAGCTGCTCTGGGCCCGGCCGCTCCAGGCCTGGCAGCTCCGGCCTGGCAGCTGCTGCTCTGGGCCTGGCTGCTCCTGACCCAGCTGCTCTGGGCCCGGCCGCTTGGGCCTGGTAGGGCCACAGATTTTATCCTTGATTCCAATCACCACACTCTTGAGGACATGCAAGTATGTGTGTGCCTTTTATAAATAATTAAGTAAATAAATAAATACATAAACAAACAAACAAACAAATAAATAAATAAATAATTGGACCAGGAAAGGGTCCTCAAATTTCCCACTTCCTGACTTTTAATAAACAGCTAAAATCCATGAGGTCATGCTGGCATATCTTCAGATACAGATATAAAATGCAGTTATAACAAAACACGCTTTATTTTGCTAGTTTTTCCCCCCCAAGTGGTATCTTTAACATTTTAAATGGCAGTTAAATTGATTTCTCTTAACCAGTTGAAAGTTGATTAGCAGTGAGCAAGGCAAACCTTGAGTGAATCCTCGTGAGAAATAATAGCATCATTGAGAGGAGTCAAAATATCATAAAACTTGAGTCGTAAATTGAGCCTTTTAGAATGATGCTCTTTTAAGCTGTGCTTTTGGATAGTTATGTGATTTTGCTAAAAGAAAAAGGTGTATTTTATAAAATGACTGTTCCCTATAGATAAAGCCCTTACAAACAATTTCAATGGCATTTAAGAGAAATGCTTTGCTCAGTAAAAGAGTATAATGCTCCTGAAAGATTCAAGTTCTATTTTGGTGTCAACATGATGGCCTACGACCCATAAGACTGAAGTTTTCAGAATGAAAACCTTATAATAGTTTTGCTCATAGGAATTCATTCTATCATAGGGATGGAAATGAAAGAAAATGATGCTGAGATATGTGATAAGGGAAACATTGGCTAGGAATCAAGAAACTTGGGAATCCTAGCTCTACTTTATCCCTATAATAAAGGATGTCATACATTCTTTGTATGTCATTTTTCTCATAAACTGAGGAGTCAAACCTGGATTCAAATACCAATTCTGTTATTTATTAACTGGGTGATATTGGATTTGCCAGGGAACTTTTTTAGGTCTCAGATTCTTCATCTATAAAATGGCTGTAATGATGCATGGACTTTCTTGGTGCACACCATGTGCGTGCATTGTGCTTTAATATACCTCTTACCTTTACAACATTAAATGGATATCCACATTTGTTATCTCTTCTTTACAGGTGAGATCATTGAAGTTGAGATGCTAGGTAATGTGAAGGGTTTAATTAGGATAATTAATGTAATGTGTCATATCTCCTGCTACAGATTAGATTCTCCAGAAATGGTAGCCAGTATTTTCCTATTGACTCTTCTATTAGATATACTTTAAAGATGAGTGAAGAGCAGATACATATGTTTAAACAGCTTAAGTTTGGGAATTAGATAGAGGCCAAAGAGTGAAAATAAAACTGAATTTTTATTTCTCTACAGGAGTGGCAAAAACTCAATTATGATATCTACACCCTGCGACAGATTCGAAGGGAAGTGAGAAATAGATGGAAACACGTTTTAGAAGATTTAGGTGAGTCTGTAGGTGATTATGAAATGGTAAAAATGAGTAGTGATCATTCCTCTTCACTTTCTTCACGAGGGTTTTTGAACAAGGAGTGTCAGTAATTGATGACTGAAGGCTACTGTGCATGAATTTTCTCCTCAATCCTGTCCTCCTGTCTCCTCCAGCATAAACATCTGTCACTTTTATTATCACTGGCCCAGCCTCGGACATGTTTTGCCATGTGTTCCTCCATCTGTCCTCAAAATCAACTAGCACAGAGCAGTGGAATCATATGGGCACTATCGAATTTTTTTGGAGTTGTGCATTGATTGAATTAGATGGGAGTGATTGGCCAATTAGTAATAGCTTTATGAGGTGAGGCATATTGGTCTCCCATCCAAGTACTAACCAGGCCCGACCCTGCTTAGCTTCCGAGATCAGACGAGATCGGGCGCGTTCAGGGTGGTATGGCCGTAGACGAGGTGAGGCATATTGGGAAAGATACTGTTTGTAATCAACTTTTTTATTTTTAAGAGAACAACAAAATTCAGTGTAAACTTTCAGAAGCACTGAAAGGCAGAAAAGCTTTAAAGTTGGGGGAAATCCCTGTGTCATTTGAGGAGATATTGGGAATTGGTTTTTATGAATTCTGCTAGGGTTTCAATACAATAACCATGGCCCTCACATTATAAAATAAGCTCTTTTAATGGTTAAAAATGAATGTGTCACCTTTGAAGTCCTCAGACCTTCTGCTTTAAAAGGGAACGTGACATCTTGGCATCGTATCTTTTTAAAAGTGGGATGCCAAATTGCCATCCTCTGTTGCTTTACTTGGGATACAGTGTTATGGGATGGACTTCTGCCCCCTCTACTCACTCAGTATTGGTGGGACTTAATAGTCTCCTTTTTTAAAATGTCATTAAATCCAAGTAGGTTTAAATCTATGAGTCTTCTCTACCTTTGGGTGAGTAAGTAAGCAGCCAACCGTATTGCTGCAGGAAAGGGAAGGTGGGCTTGGAGAAGGAGGGACCTGGAAGTGAGCACCTTTTTGCAGCAGCAGCAGAGGCACCGTTGGAATTCTGGGGGTTCCTTTCTGGGAGGAAAGAAAAGTAGAGCGAGCGAGGAGGGTTTCACACCCAAACAAGGGAAACAAGCAGTCAGCGGATGAGCACGTGAGGCTTAACTCTGTGGGAAAAGTTGACAAAAGAAAATTAAACAAGAATAAATATCAAACAAATAAAAAAATAATTTATGGATTTCAGAGAGGGAGAGATAGAAACATTAATGATGAGGGAGAATCATTGATTGGCTGCCTCCTGCACTCCCTTCCACCCCCCCACAACCAGGGATTGAGCCTGCAACCCAGGCATGTGCCCCTGACGAGAATTGAACCCAGGACTCTTCAGTCTGCAGGCCAACGTTCTATCCACTGAGCCAAACGAGCTAGGGCTCAGACAAATTTTAACGAAACACACCTCTAGTAGGTCACCCTGAGCTGGAAAGCAGCCCAGGGGGCAGAGCCTTTGGCTTCAGGTTTCCGATGCTTGTGATGCTTGTTCAGAATCCACGCTGGGGTCCCTCCACCTGCTGCAGGGCCTGTGCTGCAGGGCAGTCCCTCCCTGTGACTACTTTACTTGACAGGTACTTTTTTGTTCACCTTAGGTTTTCAAAAGGAAACAGACTCTTTGTTGTCAGTGACGAAACTCAGCACCATCAGTGACTCTAAAAACACAAAGAAAGCTCGAGAGATCTTGTTGAAACTGGCTGAGGAGACCACTATTTTCCCAACAGGTTGGGAGCTCTCTGAGAGATACCTCTTTGTTGTGGTGAGTGGATGCATTTTTCATCTGCCCTGATTTTGCTTTCATTTTTTTTTTTCCTTTTCTGTTAATCTATAAACTCCTCATTCCAACCCCACCAGCAACCCCACAATGTGAGGTAGCAGATGGTGCTGGCATCTGTGGCCAGTAGCATGAGCCATGGGGGGGGGGGTTGTGGGGGGAGCTTCAGATTTCTGGATTGCACTCAGACCTACTGAGGCTTGTGTTGTGACTTAGGAATCTGTATTTTTCAGCCAATTCTATTGTAGAGTCAGCTTTGTAGGTCAGAGGTAGGAAAAATGTTGTTTATATAACCCAGGATTGACAAAGAATTTGAAAGGCTGTTTCTTGGATAATGTAAGTAAGGGTTAAGGAGTGTCTCTAAATTTGTTCCAAGTAGTAGTTTGAGAAAAATTTGATGTTTCCTTGTTATTAGGTCTGGGATGGGTTTTGTTGTTGTTAGATTGTTTTTTGTTTTTTTTTCCATCAAAGGGCTTAGGTTCCCATCTTGACAACGTTTTCGTATTTATTTTCTTGGCAGGACCGTCTCATCGCTCTCGATGCTGCAGAAGAGTTCTTTAAAATTGCCCGTCAAACTTACCCCAAGAAGTCTGGGGTGCCCTGCTTGGCAGATGGCCAGAAAGAACTGCACTGCCTTCCATTTCCAAGTCCCTAGAGGAGAGGCTGGGCAGGAGACTTTGAGTTTTTCCACTGGAACTCAGCAGCCAACCAAAGCTGGAAAATGAGTGTGGATACAAGTGAGCAAGTAGAGAGCCAACTGAGTGAAAAATGATTCGGAATCCTACAAAAGCCAAAGGATTTGGATATCTGGTCTTCATGAGGTCTTTATCCTGTGAGATGTTCAGGTTGCAGTGAAACAGCCTGCATCAAAGAGGTGGTTGGTGGGACATTTCATCATGAGTGTTTTGATTCTGAGAACTCATTGCCCTCATTCTGGTTTTGGTCGAACAATAAGCCTATTGGGAGAATGGGATATTCTAGTTAGTAAAACAATAAGATTAACGGAGAGAGTTCTCATTGAGCCCAATATGGATTACCAGTTTTTAAACAATTGTTATATGTACATATAGGCTAAATTAAAATAATACCAGGCACTGTGTGACATTTCTTTAATTTGGAAGAAACTTGGAGAGTGTCAGAGGCATCATTTTAAATATCAGTTATAATTATTTAGAAATACAGATGTACCAGATAATAGAAATCACTAAGAGTGTGACTCAGCCGTGAATTTCAAATAGAATGATCCAAAGCAGAGCATCCTGCAGGGATATATATATATATATATATATATATATATATATATATAAAACTCTGTCTTTAGTTGTGGTACATGCATCTTACATTCTCGGTGTTATTGGTATCTGATTACCTCATTTTTGCACTCTGTCCACTTCTGATCCAAAAGCCCTTGATATTTTACCCAGGGTAGCATCTGTAGACAGAAACATCTGGCCTCTGCTTCTTTCTCTTCTCTGTAACCTGTTTCCGGCTGATTGGCTGAGAGTCGCACCTGCCCAGGGACCTCTCGTGCCATCTTGCATCCTGGCAGGTGGTGTTGCACTGGAGAAGGTCATTGCTGGACTTTCACTCTGAAGATGATTTTTTAAATGGAGCAATGCTGGCAATACAGCTGGCTTCTATCCACAGACTGAGAAGGCCAGCTCCAAAAGTTACTTGCCCCTTACGTAAGGAGCTTGCCAAGAAATCAGGGTTCATTTTATTGAAAAGACTTTGAGAACGTGTAGGATTCAAGAATTGATTGCTGAGAACAATGACAATGTTATTACTTTTACAGATTTTGCTCTTTCAACTTCAGGTTAAAAGGTAACTTGTTTTTAGTCTTTTCCAGGGGATTTTGACTTGAAAATATCCATATTTTGACTAGTTTCTGTGGTAGTGAACATGATGTTTCAGTTGTTTGTGAGAGGAGACCCATGCTCTCCATTTATTAATGCCTTACAGACCAATTTAACTACCGTATCATGTTTCAGAAAAAAAATTTTCTAGTTTAATAAGTAAGCTAAAAGTCTTATTTAAAATACATATTTAGGGCTTAATCCCTCTCATAGTGTTTAAAATTAGCCTGCAAATATTTTTCCTTACTTCCATGAGTTCTTGCAAGGTCAACATACAAACTGCAATAGTCAAACAAAATAAAAAAATAAATTTTAATAATAGAAAGTAGTGTTTTCATCTCTGTCCTTGGAATTTGTATTTTGCCTTTCTGCCTTTTTGATGTCAAAATAGATGAGATTGTTTGCATCTATGGAGAATAAATTGTAACCACAGTCTTTATTTTTGGTAATGCTTGGTAATGTCTATGATTATAAAGACATATGGAATTACCCGGAAATTTTCTTTGCAGGGAATTAAAAGGTTTCTGTATTTACTTTTTGGCTGGATATTTCTGAGAAATAAAAAGGAGAGAGAAAGAGAAATATTTTTTGTCACACTTATATATGCATTCATTGATTGATTCTTATAGGTGCTCTGACCAAGGATTAAACCCACTACCCAGCTGGGGCTCTATATTCTTTTAACACACTCCAGAGGACACTTGGCATCTCGATTTTTCAATTTTCAAGTCCCTTAACATGGGTTTAGAAGACTGGGTTATAGAGAACTGAGTCAGGAAAACAGGTCATAGCTTAAGCCTTTTGATCATTTTAACTAAATGGAGTTTATCTGATTTTGCTACTCATCTATATTCTAAGTAGTAAGATTAAGTTTAGAAAGAACAGTGCTATAAAAACAAAAATTAAATTATGACACCTAATAGCTCGATAAAGCATAGACTTATAGATCATTACTTTTTCAAAAACCAACAGCTGTAGTTTTTAGTAGCAATTTATTTTTAAAAATTTTTTTCAGCATTATTAATATGAAATGGATAAGTAAACTTTGTCATACATCCTAGAGACTTGCAGGATCTGAAGTATCATAATCAGCAGGCCACTTTACAAAGATGGTTGTTTAATCATTTTAATCATCTTTATCAAAACTGAAGGTCCATTAAACTGCATAGAGGGTGTTAGGAATAATTTTCCACGTATGAAATGAGTAGTAGTCAAGATAAGTGGTTAGACTGTTTGCCCTCCATTATCTTTGCAGGAGGAAGATGTTAAGAACCCATTGAACCCAGCAATGCTCAAGGCCTTGAGTGCCTTTTGTCCTTAGCCTGCTTCACAGACCTCACACTATATTGTCTAATTTTTATCGGAATCTACCATGTTTCCTCAAAAATAAGACATCCTCTGAAAATAGGACCTATAAGACACTGTCTTATTTTCGGGGAAACAGGGTAGTTGGGTCTGCCTTAAGAATGAAACTATCGCTCAAGATTTCTTCGAATTTTCATTTCAATACTAGAGACCAGTGCATGAAATTCATGCATTGGGAGGGGGCGGTGAGTCCTTCAGCCCAGCCTGTGCCCTCTCGCAGTCCAGGACCCCTCAGGGGATATCTGCCTGCCGGCTTAGGCCCACAGAGAATGGACCAAAGCAGACAGTTGGAAATCTCTCTCGTGGTCCGGGACCCCTTGTCCTTATCTCCCGCCTGCTGACAGCTCCTTACCACTCGGGTTGCTGCTCCTTAGTGCTGCCACTGCCACTGCATTCACCAGTCATGAGCCCTATCTTTTTGTGTCGTTGTCTGTGGGCCAATTGCTCTCTTCCTTCTCACTTAGGGCAAGCAGCATATGAGGGCAGAGTAACACTGTCATGGAATGCAGAAGGCTGCCTGGAGCTGAGAGGAGTGGCCGGGCCCATGGGGAGAGAGGTGGATACAGCAGACGCTATCTCACCCAATTGTGGGGTGGACTGGCTGGCCTTCACCTGCCTGACCCCACCCAGGAAGGGACCGAGCAGGGTGTCCCCCTCTCCATTCTCCATCCTTCCATCCGTGACACCTGTCACCCTTGCCAGGCCTCCCCCAAAGTGAATTCAGCTCAATCCCTGAATGTAAAAGGACACGAGGGATGGGAAGGAGGGAAGCTCTACTCCAGTGCCCCTGCTTCCCGGCGACAGGACCTGGTCAACAGGACCTAATCTCAGGACGGGGGCCACAGCTGCAGAACATAGATCTCTTTCAAGAAAAGCTGGGAATGCAGACTTTCGTATGAGCCCCTGTTCCGAAAGGTGGCAGTTTATTCACTTTGTGGCAAAGACAACTTCAAGAGTAACATAAGTGGGTAAAGTCAAGGCCAAACCGGGCCAATTCCTCATCCAGTCTCTTTGAGGCGTGTGGGCAGAACCAAGTCTCAGCTCTTCATAGGACACATCAGAGTTTGTTTGTTTTTTTTAAGCCTAAAGGACAGTAGTCTGTCTCCATTCTTGTTCTTTGGGATTTTTTCACCGTGGGATAAAAGGATACATACGTTAGGACAATCCTAGTGTATTCCAGTTGCACCATGTGAGGACAACAGTGCCCCGCAGAGGGAGGCAACCAACAGATGGGGAGCAGGGAATTCTAAAAACCAACTGATGAAAGAGATGCTAAGTCTTTCCTTCACGTGTCTGACACCCTCTTTAGGCGGCCTGCAGGCCGGGCCTTTGCTGGACCTATACCAGCTGATGTCCTGGCAGGCTCCTGGGCCTGGAGGAAGTCATCCCCCTGCCCTAGCCCCTCCTGGTACAGCTTCTGCACAAGGGAGCTGGTCTCCGGGGGCCACACCTTCCGTCTGCCGCAGCTGTGCCCTGTCTGCACACCCATCCTCCATCGGGGCCTGGCCCCTGCTGCTTAGGCACCCCCAGGGCAGGCCAGGACCTCTGGAAGGGGCAGGGGACTGCCCTCTACAGCTGCAGGACCACTTCTGGGTGTTCCAAAAGCCGTAGCAGCCTCACAGCACACTTCCTGGCAGTCTTTGTTCCTCAGGGTGCAGTAGGTGAGCACTCTCATGTCCTCGTTGAACAGCTCCTTGGCCGTGTGCCTAAAGATGTGTGCCAGGTGCCCATCAGAGCTGGCACCCTCGTGGAGCCTCACCTTCTCCTCCTTCATGTCTCCAAACAGAGTGCCCACGGCGGCATCATTGGAGGCGAGGTCACTTTGCTCCATTATCTGGACAATTCCACCTGAGGGTAACCTGCGGTCAGCACCCTGGGAACTACGTAAAGCTATGGGAACATCTTCTCAAAGAGCCTCCAGCTTCTTGTCATAAAATGGGGCCACAGTGACATGGAAAACCTTGTCTGGGGACAGGTTCTGCCTCTGGTGCAGTAATCCTTCAGAGAGCCCATGGTCTGCTGGGAGACTTGGTCGTGCAGAGGTGGGGGTGACGGGGTGACCAGCACACGCTCTGCAGATCGGTCCCATATGGGGCAGGCGGAGGTCAGCATGGGTAGCCAGGGCTCTTCCTCACGGTGCTGGCAGTACCCAAGCACAAATTCCTCTGGCTCTCCAAGATGCTGGAGTCCGAAGCTATCTTCATGTCAAAGACAGTGCGCCCCAAAGCTTTTGAGAAAGTCACAGAACCTTCTGGATGCATCAGTAACACTGAGGCTGAATTTAGCAGCAAAATAAGGCAGAGACTGGGACACATAGACACTGCCAGCACCTTGTGCTGTGAGGTATCCCATTTCTTTTTTTTTCTTTCTTTTTTAAAAAAATATATATTTTATTGATTTTGTACAGAGAGGAAGGGAGAGAGGTAGAGAGTTA